AAGAATTTTGCCTTTTTGGTCCCGAAGAACCCAAGAGGAATTTTTAGTTGAAAGCGCGATGAGCCCGTCACAATACATGGATCTTAGTTATACGAAACTTACTAATGATGAGAACAAATTTGATGCTTACACAGTGATATTCAAGGAAGAATAATAATAAAGTTAGTTGAACTATTTTCTTACTCATTTTGATTAGTTTCACAATACAGAAAAGTAATTTATACTCTGAAAGAAAACTTTATTATAGATCCAGAAAAAAGTAAGCCAACTTAGTGCACAACAGACTTCCCTTTCTTTGAATCAATTTGCAAATGAATTTGTTTACTTCATGCAAATATTATTTCATTTTCTTTCCACACAAATGCAAGAAGTTTCCATTTAATATAGCAGAAAAAATATTCTTCGTTCAGTACATAATTTACTTGAAGTCATTATATATATAGGCGAAAATATTAAAAAAAAATAAGATATATTTTTTCAGTGAGGAAAATTTATTTATGCAGTAGTTTTTTTATTATTTGAAAGTTTTCTTTCATTGATTGGGTAGAATTTGCATTTCGAGGTAATAATAGTTTCTTAGATTCGTTTGTTTTGAGTTGTTTTTTCAAATTTCTTGGAATTTAGAAAATATTACAGAAATAATACTCGGCTTCACTGCTTGTATTATTTTAGATAAAAATTTCAAAGTTTACATTGGTCTGCACTATTAATATCCTAGCATTGAAAGAACAAGGGTTAAATGTATTGTTGAAGATCATATGCTCGAATTTGTAAAATATGTTTTACTCAAGTGCACACAGGGATCATAATGACTGAGTTTCAAAAGTATGGAACCCTCCACGAACAGCTTTCATACTACTTTGAAGAGCAATGTTAACAAACGCTAGAAAAATAAGTGTTTGCATTGTTTCATTCCTCTTAAATAATCTTTTGAATTGATAACTTCTTTAGACGCGTTTTTCTGAAGAGTAAATCCAGATTAAGCTTCAGGTTAGGCTTCTGAGGGGGCTTTATCGCGCCTTCTCACTAATTCTCTTGGGGGAATCTTTGGAGTCAGAATGGCATTTCAATCCAACTTTCTCAAGAAGAAACCGTGATATGTAGATTAGTGAACAGATATATAAGGGAGCTTTAGCATTTGCGTGTAAGTTGAAGCCGGAAAGTTGAATAAGAGCTGAATAGAAGTCGGATAGTAATAGGATAAAAGTGTAGGAATAGAATTCAAGAAGAGACAGAAAGCCGAGGGCTGCTCGCCGTGTGATATTGGTACGAGATTAATTATAGAACGAACTTTAGCTTATTAAGGAATCCTCAATAGATAAAGATTCTGTGGTTAATTTCTCATAAAGATAGTGAGTAGGAGTTCAGATGCTATTTTACTTAGAATTGATAATTACGTAGTATCACTTCTGATCAGTCCCCTCTAGTAAGACTTGTGTTACGTTGATCAATATATATTTAGACAATAATAAATTAAATTTATTTTGGAGAATTTGAGTGATCAATCATTTATTCCTACAAATCTAGGTCGCGTAGATGGAGAAATGATACTCCCGGGCTGCTGGGTATCACAGGCTGCGTTACGCTCAATTGGGTGTACTCGGCTCCAATCGGCAATAGAACTCGGGCCGGCAACACTCGTTTAGTTTTGAATTGAATATTTCTTCGGTGCGTTTTTATGTATAATAAGGGGAAAAAATCATACACAATTTTTCCCGTGCAGTTTTATTTTCTTTACTTAAATATTATTGCATGTAGCTTCCACTCAACTCTAACGAGTGAACGAGAGAAGAAGAGCGCAAGTGAAAATCATTGAAAAAAAAAGATTATTCTTATGTAGAACATCAAATTTAAGAAGAAACGAAGCATGGGATCTATTTTTTTGATTTAGAAGAAAGAGAATTTAATCACAAAAATGTGTCAAAATAAATTTAAAAAAGATATTTTAATGAAGTCAATTAATGAGAAAGCTGTCAATGCTTTGGTCTATATCAGTGATGACAAGTAACAATCTACAAGAAAATAAAAGCATTCATTGTGAAAAAGTATGGACTCTCTTCTTTTGTTCGCTTAGAAAATTTTAAGAAATGTTAATGACTCACAAGGCATAAGTTTTCCTATCCTTACAGGGTATACGGCATTATATTAGTTACATAAATGGTACTTACATATTATCACAACGGTATTGGCGACATTATGTGAAATGAAGCACATGGTTGCCAATTCAGCACGTAAGACAGTGGCGTAACGGAGAACATTTGGGCCCCCCTGCAAAGTCAGGTTTTAGGCCCCCACGTTGAATTTTACAAAGGGTAGGCACTTGCATCAGCCAGGCTCTGGGCCCCTTTAGAACCCTGCCCCCCCGCGATGCGGGGGTTGCGGGGGTGCACGTTACGCCACTGACGTAAGACACATGGGAAATTAATGTTGCCATTTTGGTGAGTTATCTGAAACGTTGGCATTGCTCCGATAGCACGTAAGTAACACAGATAAGCACATATATATATATATATATATATATATATATATATATATATATATATATATATATATATATATATATATATATATATATATTACACAAATATAATCTATATAAGTAATTTACATATAATTAAACTGATTTACACTTAAATCGTATATTCTCATATACAAATATATTTGAATGCATAATTATTTAAACTTACTTTACTTTACTTTTTTACTCGCCCTTTACAGAAAAAGGATGAAATAAACAAATACACCGATGGATGGGCATGGAAAAGAGAACTATTTAACTCTAGCAAGCGAAAATGTCGCAAAAGAAAACGTAGTACATACGAAAAATTGGATTCTCTTGCCCAGAATGAATGAAAAGTTTTCTCTTTTATCGTGGGGTCCTAAGCACACACACACAATTTTTTCTCAGCATTTTCTGTGTGTTATATTTATGTTTTAACGGTATCAGAGGAAATATTATTAACAAACGTTTACGTATATTGAAAACTAATCTTATACTAACAGACAAAAAACATAATTTTTTTAACTGCACATTCATGATTCATTGTTTAAGGTGAATAATGAAAATTTGACTTTATAACCTGCACTCAAAAAAGAAATACTACGCTGGGTAGCTCCGATAATTTTAATCTCTTTTTAAAATCCAAATAATTCACATTCAAATTGAGCACAGTTACAATTACATGAAAAATAGTTAATACTATGCAAAATAACTAAAGGTTTTTGCGCGTGGACATTGGTATCTGCTTTCTTCAGCGGGCTGGCAAGCTGAAAGATAAAGTGTCCACAAAATCAGCGGAGGGCACGCTATTATCCGTGTGTTTTACCATTCATTACAACTTCATTTAAATGTAATAGAAAATATTAGAATATAATTAGGGAGGAAACATTGTATGAATCACAATTAAAATTTAAATATTAGTTATCTAAATCGAAGTTCATTGTTTTTATTTATCTAATTTTAAATCTAATCTCAGAATCTTGTTTTGACAAGTATTTCACCGAATTCTCACCTTGACTGCTTTGACTAGAGCAGGGGTGGCGATCTTTTATGGATTAACGTGCCATTTTTTTTCTTAAGAAGCGTTTGATAGACGTGTCGTCAAAATATTTTGACTTGTGATTACTGGAAAAATAATAAAGATTAAATACTAACCAAAAAAAAAAAAAAAAAAACTCGAAACTTTATTTACTACGAAAAAATGCCTTTTGCCTTGTTTAGTTGAAAATATTTCATACTTGTAATTCTCTCTCTCAAATTAAACGAACATTGTGCGAATTTCTTTGCTGCTGATTGTGTGGATGACAAATAACTTATATTAGGATGGTAAGATGTTACTTTTAGTAGAGCAATTAATTATTTTTGCTGTGGTTAACTTTTTTTGACAAGAGTATTTGTGATTTGTACAGTGGGGCGATGCTCTGCATACCACTGTTCAGGAGATAAACCCGCACCTCTTGGTCGCTTTTACTAACAACGCCATATTTCTAGATTCAACAAGTTTGAAATTCTCTGCTACATTTACCATCATGCACTTTTTGTTCTGAACTAGCAATGTTGAATAATGGTTAAAAATCGTAAATATAGCACAAATGAACTTTAAAATATAGTGTGTCAATGAAGTTGACTATGCTATGCGTAGACAAACTTTCATCAAAAGCAACTGTAGCCCACGACGTAACTAAGGCAAGACAATTACAAGCAAGTGTGCTCCCCTCCACTCCGCGATTGATCACTCGCGTTTGTTCGTAATACTTCATATATTATTTTGAAATAAAATGCAAACTATTTTGATCACTCGCATGCCCAAAACATTGTGTCGCGTGCCATTAATGGCACGGCGATCCACTGGTTCGCCATCCCTGGAATAGAGCTATTCTTTTCACCGAGGGTGGACGACACTTTCTAGTACAATATGTTGATCTTAGGAAACAACTTATTGCCTTTATAAATTGATAGCAATTTGATGTCTAAATGCTTAACCCCTTATGTATCAGACTGCGTTTTCTTTTATCCCCAGAAATTCTGGATTTCTTTGGGATACTCACCTTGACGTTACGACGCATATTTCGTTTTTTCCCTTTGACGCTGACTAAGGCGCCAATTCGTTCGTGTCCTCTTCGCTTTCTAAAGTTTGAATAACCATTTGTGTTGCTTATTTTTACTTTTTTTCTTGCCAATATGGCTTTGCCGTTTGATTTCAACGAAAGTGATACTGAATGAGAATATTTGTTGGAAACTGATGCATATGACAGATTTTCTGAAGTGGTTTTATACATTTGTGATGAAGATAAGGAAATGGAATAAAAAAAATGACAGAGTACCCTTATGTAACGCATGTGGAAAAAGCCTTTTGTTCCAAGGAACATTTCGAACAATTTCACACAAATAGTAGTTATAATTTTAATTTTTCTATTTTTTTCAAACTTTTGTTAGTTAGACATTTTGTAACTTTTTTTGTAACTTTATACGTTGCCAATAAAAGAAAATCTGCCACCCAGCCAGCATGGCGGATATGCCCCTTGGCTTGTAACCGAGTGGGTTCGGGTTCGAATCCCGAGTAAGGCATGGTTGTGTATTTTCTTCGGGAAAGGAAGTCGGACTTTCGCATGTAATGTCCCGTTTCGAATGAAAATCAGCACACAACCCTTCTGTTATATGCTAGGATCATTATTTATAATAAATGTCCATACTCTTCTGCTTGCATTGTATGTTTTCTGTTCATCTCTTGTATTTCGTATGTATCCCAGGATAAAAACACACACCACCACCACCAACAACAAAAATCTACCGTATAATATTTTCTGTGCTGACAGTGGTTGTACACTTAAGTAAGCCATGTATCCATTTGAGGTTACAATGGGAGTTTGCCCTATATATGGCCGGCATCCACTCATGGTGCGCATTTGTTAAAAGACTAAAAAATCTCCGATGTGGTTTTCTTTTTTAATGCAGAGAAATATCTGCTACGTACACACTTTTGTTCAAAGCGTGTTCTCTGATTGGCTTAGAACACAAAGATGTCATATTTTTTTCAAAATTGTTGCGAAAGACACATTTTTTAAAAAAATATTGCGGATGATATCCAACGATAAAACTTACAATCGTTTTTCTACGTTTGAATTACAACATACCATCACAAAGTGTTGCATCAGAATTTATAATACACCCATGTGTATCCAATTTTTACATATTAGATACACGATTTTGCCGGACTTCCTCTCTTTTTGTCTTTGTTTTGTTATTGTATTTCAAGTAAAGAATTTCAAAATAAACAATGTTTTAAAGTTTTATAGTCTATTTTATTCCAGGCATTTTTTCTATGTTTTTAAATTAATTTTTTTTTCATTATGCAATTGTTTGTCAGAACCTATGATTAAAAATAACTTTAAACGAAGAAAATGGTTCGATTTTTTTACCAAGCCTTATTTTTTTCTCGTCGAGGTTTGTAATGAATTTCTGTTCAAGTTTTTTTGTTTTATGAAATAATGAAAACTCCATCGGTACAAAAGTTCAAAATGAAATATTTATCTAATGAGGCGTTCCATTTTGTATACCTCGCAAAACATCCCTACAGGGAGCTTTGGAATTTCATATGTACTAAAGTAAAATAATATATTTCTAATTTATAAATCCCTTTCCAACGTTACATAATGGCCAATGCATTTTTAATATAATTTTTCATAATGTATCTATTTTTTCATTTACTTATAAAAAAAACGTGTTTTACTATAACCATCGACCCTTTCAGTTTTTTTTCTCAATACAAGAATGATATTTCTAGAAAAAAATGGAAATAATTTTACTTTTCTGGAAAAGAATAATCGCTTAACATCCGTGTATGCACGAAGTAAACTTAATTAATATATGAAGCTTCTTAAAATTTCAAAATGGATTTCTTTGGAGCTATTTGCTGAAATTTGTGACAGGTTTGTAATTTTTAGAGAAAGAAAAATGAAATATAAGATTGGATAAATATCAAAACATAAATGATAGTTTGCCACCCCTTTTATATAAAAAATATGGGACTGCAGTAGCTTAGTGGTCATGGTCATGTACTCCTGGTCTGCGTGCCATAAGTTTGAATGCTAATGGCACAGGACACTTATCCTGTAGAAGGACATATGCACATTAAATCTGTCGAGGCTCAAAGTCCTCCCGTTGGCACGGTGTAGAAGTTTGAAAAAGGGGAATGCCAGCTCAAGTCCTCGGCACTTGACTGTGGTTCAAAATTATGAGGCCCGTCGTCAATATCCATCGTGTTGCTATATAGTTCGACGTTAATTAAAATTTAAACAAAGTAGAACACATGAACTTTACACCAGTGCTTCTCAATCTTCCAATACTGGCGCCCCCCTTTTTAATCACGATTTTTATCGCGCCCCCTTACACATTAATAATATACTGAATGCAATAAAAATGCACTTTGACGCTAAAGCAACAATTTTTATTATAAACCGTACAAATTCATGACATAAGTATTAAATTTTGTATGTGTTACTTTTAAGCAAAAAAAAAAAAAAAAGTAATAGTATAATTATGTTATTTTCCCTTTCTCTAATTTTTTAAATTGGAACATATTGCAAAATGCAGTGGTTGCTTAGAAGAAAAAATATAGATATAAGCTAAATATAGAAAAAGAACTCAGAGGGTCAATTTCTAATCATAAGCATTCCTTTGAAAAACTTTGCTCTGCAAGACAAGCCCATGGAAGTCGCTAATACTTATTAAACTTGTTCTTAATTTAGTATTAATTAATTAGTTATAAAATAATCTGTGAAGCATTGATACATTAAAAGTATACCGGCTGAAGTAGCCACTCTTTCCACGAGTTCATTTATAAGAAAATAAAATATTGATATAATCGCTGAATTGTAAGGAGAGTAAAGCCAAGTGCGTGACAATGTTTACAAAAATGTAAAATGATTTTTTTAAATGATTGCTCAGAATATAATTAGTTTTAAGCGAACTGTAATTTTAAGCCTCACAGAATTAGCATTTAGAATTGATGTTGAATAATGAACAATAAAAGAAATTCTGATAAAGAACAATTGTATTATTTTTAATATTTAAAGCGAAAAGACTTCAACATGTTTTAACCCTGGAGCAGGCACGCACTCGATACTAATGGTCGAGCGGGGTTAATGAGTCGCCCCAATCTTTTTTTTTGTATAATTTTTATAGTACACAATAAAAATCGTAATTCCAGTGAACAATTTAATAAAGAGAAAATATACTTATCTACTTTCAAGGACACAGAAAATATTTCGGAAAAAAAGTTATCACACCGGGAACTCATTCAAAACAAGTACCTTAAGATTGTAAAAAAAACGTTTGTCACTCCCAAAAAAGAGGGAGATATGTGACAAATATATTTTGATTCACGTTAAGACTGTCAAACAGGAGGATAGTATCAGGGCCATTGGTAACAATTAAACAGTTTTGGCAGAATTACCGATTTCGTGCACTGTGCTCAGCGTGACCGCTCCCGAATTAAAAGTGTATTTATTACAACATGGATGTTCTAAAAAAATATGCAAAACGTTTTTCGTTATCATAAAAATCATAAAAATATTTTACTAGGAAAAAAGCGCAACAGAAATAGTTTGTTTACAACTTCCCTAAATGAAAAAAACAAATACATATAAGCAGGGACGTAACTAACTGTACAAGTAAGTTCGAAGGTCAAACCGCAGTAAATACATTCTGCTGCCTACAGCTGATGGCAATAATACAACAGGGATGAATTTTTTATCTTCCTAAAATTTTTTTTGATTATGGGTTTGGGTTTTGTTTTTTCTCACGCAATAAAAAAATCTCTCATCATGGGATTACAGCAAATCAAATAAAATGTGTTTTATTTGGTCATAGTATCAAAAAATAGATATATAATGAGGTTTTGAAGTAAAAGCTTTCATTTTTCATGACGTAATATCACAGATGATATATATAAATTATATCAGTGTAAATGTGTATTTTTTTATTATGTCAGAAAGTATTTTGTTTTACTTCATTCCAGTAAATAAATTTTTTTAATCTTTTATTTTCGATATGCTCGCGCCCCCTTGTAGGTTTATCGCGCCCCCCAGGGGGGCGCGCCCCACAGTTTGAGAAACACTGCTTTACACCGATTTGCAAAATGAAAGCATTCTTTGTACAGTACACTAAACACAGTTCGTCTTTACTAAAAAGAAGCGATAGTACTCCCAAACGACGATCAATCCTCTCCCAAACAGTCTTGATAGCTGATGGCTCAAATAGATGTATGCCAATCCAGTTTGACAGTCAAAGTTGCTGAGTTTGTGGGCTTATGCATGGCGTGTGCTGTCAAATGTTGTACTATAAGTGAATGACACCGAGTTTACGATGAAGGAAGTGAGTGAGTAAGTGAATATTAACGTCGCACAGAGGGCAGTTTTCCCAATCTGGCGCTCGGAAAGTCCAAAAATGAAATTGCACGAAATAAAAAAACAGCCCAATATTTATGGTCCTCATAGATTTCCTAGCCATGTGGCAAACAGTTTTCGTCAGTACACGAATGGAAATATTCTACAATCAGCGGTTTAGATCGGGTTTCTTTTTTCTACAAGAAACACTTGCGAGCGTCATTTTTTAGTAAGAAGTTCAATCGTTATATCTGAAAAAGATTTTGAAGATTCAAGCGGGTTTTTTTTTAAATACATGCCCTGGGTAAGTTATTTCTTGATTTCACTTTCAAATTAGGTTCAAGTTTGATTAAAAATTATAAAAACATAACATTTAGCACAGCATGTAACTCCTACCAACATCTGTCGGTTTTTTGTGTTTATTGGAGTGGAACTTTTAGGATTGGCATGGATTTATCACAGTAACACTTAAGTCACATAGTATAGATTTTGGCCTTTAATTTAATATCAAATGTGGCTTCTACGTACTGCTACCCTTAAAGTTATGATTTTTTTCAGCGTTGGCTGATAGTATTAATAGGCATGCCTTACTTAATGTATGGGAGGAAGAGCAAGGTAATAGGGCAAAACTAATGTTGTTTTGAGTTTAGTTAGGACTACAACGAACTTTGATAAATATGAGGACCAGCAGCAATTAAAATTTTGAAAAATTGTTAAAAATTTCTGCTCGTTTGTAGGGGAAAAATGAGAAGTTCTTCTCCAAGCCGAATGATGCGTGGTTGACGGGGGAGTAAGATTTATATTATATTTTATTATTTTTTTATAAAAAATATATAGCTAATATTTTAGTGCGGTATTTTTGTTTATTTAAGATTATAATAATTATTTTTTCAGAATTATAAACTTTAAAATGGTTTTTCTTGGTTTGTGTTTTTTTGCATTCAAAATACCACTTCTTCCACAATTATTTACCAATTAATTCCATTTTTTCCCCTGTGTCTTATATGTAATGCATGTAACAAAATTAGGGATTCATTTTGCTTTAAATTGAAAACTTCTTTTTATAAAAAAATTAAATTTGGGAAATATTAGGCCTTCGTGTTTGAATTTTTTAGCATATATATATATATATATATATATATATATATATATATATATATATATATATATCAACATTTTATT